ATCGCTCTCTTTCAATTCGTTCAACTCGGCCAATCCCCAAACCACTTGTCGTTAAAGAAAATCTGGGGTGTATCCGAACTCCCGTTCTCTTGATCAGTTCCTTCTCCCTTTTGGGGTACACGTCGATGTTGATCTCGACGTACGCGAGCCTTTTCTCTCTGAAGAACTGGCGGACGGCGGTGCAATCCCTGTCGTTCGATCTCGTGAAAACCGATATCCGGCCTCTTAATTCGCGGCCGAGCCGTTGGGCTTCGGTTCTCAGCTTTACTATGACTTTGACTCCCGGGATTTTGAACTCCGTCACCTCGAAGTTCAACGAATCGTCTTCACGACGAGGTCGTTCTCGTCTTCTTTTAGAGACGACAAGCTTCTCACGGTTGCCGGGGAGAGACTGTTGCTTCGATCGTTTATGTATCTGCTATGGACGGCATTGTTTCCGCGATGGATAACGATTGTGAACGTTCCACTTTCGGCGGCGACGTTGGCGGGTCGAGTTTCGGGAGGCGAGCTTGTGATTTAATATCGTTACCGTTGTTATATTCTTGGATTCCTTTGGTTTCGGGGATTTGGTTCGAATTCGAAGTGGATTCTTCTTTTTCTTCTCCCGGAGGCTTAATATCCTCTTCCTCTCATTGCTCTTTTCAATCTCGACATCAACGAAGTCTCCGCCGTCATGATCACCGGGCACGGCGGTTCGTTTGGCTTCGCCGCCGTTTTCACCTCCATCGTTTGTGGACTTCTTTTCAAATATTCGTCAACTTTACCTTGCCCGATGACTCCATTTTTATTCGATCGTAAAGAAGAAAAAAATATAAAACGAAACGAACGTGTATATATAAAGAAGAACGAAGATCAAGTATAAACAAAGCGATGAAAACGGAAAGATGTAATGGAAGGAAAAATGTACTTAAGATGGAAATTAGAAATAAATAAATAAATAAATAAAACAATGGTGGCCATTGGCAATAGGCTTTGAGTTGATCAGCGAAAGCAGTAAAATAGATTTTGGGAACTATTTCTACTTGTTTTAAGGCTAAATTTAGAAATATAATATTATTTTCTGATGAATATATAATTTTGGAATTATTAAAAACAGTTTATTTTTAGTGAATATTTAATCAGAATAATTAGTGATAAATAAACAATGGTGGCCAAGACCCAAGACAGTTTAGAATAGTGAATTAGGGTTGTTCATGGACGGTTAACCGATCGTTTAGGCTAAACTATATGGTTATCATCCATGAATAACCCTAATTCATTGTTCATAAATTGTGAGGTTTGGGTGAGAGATTAATTAGTGCAAACAGATTTGTCTTATGAGGTTTTCTCTTTGTTTGCTTTATTTGTAATTCCCCTTGTAGAAAGAGTATAAGCAAGGTTTTGGGTATAAACCTTGTGGGTTGTTGTAAGGTTACACATTGTCCTCAAAGGTAAGCAAATTTAGTAGATTTGAGAAATCCTTAGTGTGGATGCTAAGGTAGGATGTAGACTTAGTTTGATAAAGTTGAACCACTCTAAATTGATGTACAAAAAATTTATTCTTCGATTGTTTCCACCAAAATTCTTAAAAGGCCAATTCACCTTCTCTTTGCATTATTCAGTTGATCGATAAAACTAGCAATTGGTATCAAAGCGGGTCACAATCGACAGTTTGATAACCTTATGAAGATCCTAGAAAAGCTCTATCAACTTATTCATCCAACTGATAAAGATGACTTCAACCTCCGGCTCCTACTTCATTGAAGATTCACAACTGGTCAACAAACTACCATACTCCAATGGAGAAAATTACTTTTATTGGAAGAATAGGATGGGTTTATTCATTCAAGCCACCGAACTTGATGTTTGGGATGCAATCGTCGACGATTTCCTAACCCTCCAAGAAATCAGTCGGAGTGGACAAAAAAACAAGAAGTTTACCCAACTCAACGCTGAAGCCATGCACATTCTCTTTTGTGCACTTGTCCTGGACAAATATAGTATATTATCTTCATGTTATAACACTAAGGATATGAGACAAGTTGGAAGTGACACATGAAGGAACAAGCCAAGTCAAGAAGTCCAAGATTGGCATTCTCACTCTCAACTACGAGAACTTCAAGATGAAGCCCGATGAAGACATAAAGATGATGTTTGATTGGTTCACTTCAATCATCAATGAGTTGAAGAACTTGGGAAAGTGTATCTTAATGAAGGCATAGTGAGAAAGATGTTTGCCTCATTGCATATTGGGAAGGAAAAGTAACCACTATTGAAGAAGCCAATGACTTGGAGTTGTACACCTTTGATGAGCCCATCGGTTCTCTACACACTCATGAGGTGAAACTCCAAAAGAAGAAGAAGAAAAAGGAAAAAAAAGAACAAGAAAAAGAAGGATGTAGGAATTGCCTTCAAATCCACCAATGAATATAAAGAAGATTCAAGTGAAGAGGTGGATGAAGAAGATGAAGAGATGGCCAAGATCTTCAAAATATTTATGTCATTTAAAGATAAAGAAAGGAAACATGAATCGAGAAAATAGAAGGATCCCATTAATTATATGCTATAATTGTACAAAATCGTGGCATGTCAAGTATGATTGTCCACTATTGAGGAAGAAGGGATCAAGCAAGCCAAAGAAGAAGACTTTTGTGGCTACATGGAGTGATGAAGACTCCACCGATGACGAAGTAGTCAATCTTTGCCTCATGGCCATCCAAGAAGAGTCAAAGGTATCTTCCAACTCAAATGAATTAAATTCATATTTTTTGATGAGTTACAAGATGCTTATGATGAATTGATTTGGAATTTGAGACCATGAATTCAAATATAAAAAAATAATTTCTAAGTTTAAATTGAAATGATTAAAGATAAAATTAGATTTGAAAGCAAAAATGAAATTTTGAAAAGGATTTGGAGCTTTCAAAATTTTTAAATCAAAAATTTTGAAAAAGAAATTTTGATTTAAAAATTAAGCTGATTGATTAATGAAAGAAATCATCAAAGTCAATAATGGCAAAATGTTCACATTGTCATTATCATGGTCATACTTCTAATTCTTTTCCTATAAATAAAAGACAATTTTATAAAATAAGACACGTATGGGTTCTAAAGGGAACTAGAGGCATTGAAACTAACAATCAAAGACCCAAAGCAATTTGGGTACCAAAAATCAAGTAAATGTCTCATGTAGGTGTATTGGACCAATAGTGAGCAATGACAATGTATTTGGAAGCTCTAAAACACACTAAGGAATGACACTTGAAGAGAGAGACCTAAGAAACCTAAATTCAAGTGGTAACAAATTTTAATTTCATGCAATTTTGTGCTTTGTATGATTTAAAATGTTTGAAATACACTAAGGAATGACAATGTATTTGTAATACTATCGTATTGTAAATATTATCCGATTTTGGAGGGATCTAACAGAAGCTTTGTAACAAACTTCTATACAAATTTTCACATTCAAAGTGGTTTCATGATCAAATGCTTGGTTCCACAATGTATATAAAGTGAAATTCGATTTGAAATATAAAGTTAGATATTCTGCCCTGTTACTCGGACTAGCGGTTGAGTGTCGGATTCGAAGGATCATGTTCGATACCTGTGTTCGAATATGTGTCGGACAATCGAGTTTGGGGTGTTCCATCTCCTAATAGGAACTGGACAACGAGAATGCTATAAAGTGAAATTCGATTTGAAATATAAGTTAGATATTCTGCCCTGTTACTCGACTAGCGGTTGAGTGTCGGATTCGAAGGATCATGTTCGATACTGTTCGAATATGTGTCGGACAATCGAGTTTGGGGTGTTCCATCTCCTAATAGGAACTGGACAACGAATGCTAACTGAACTGTATAACATTGATTCTGTCATTACTCCTACTTTTAAAATATCAAAATATTACAATTCAACTAAACCAAACTGTTATCACTTAGCAGCCATAATTTCAATAGCATTTGGTTGCATGCAATACCATCGAATTAGGCCACAAAGTTGTTTGAAAACAATCAGACCATTTGACATTTTATTAAGAACAAATTCTTGGTCCATAGGGTGGAAAACAAGCAACTTCTTCCACCCTACATTTTTAATAACAATTTTTGGTAATTTTTTTCTTCCTTCGGCAAGTTTTATGGCAGACCGATAGCCAACTATTTCCTTTTTTTTATATATATATAAGTTAGAGGTCTCATTAAAAACTCCCTTCGTATTCTTCCACATACTTAGAAGTATGTTGGAGAACATTGGAAGGAAGAAAAGAGTGCCTCATATTTTATTAAACATAATGCCAAGTACATATGGTAACACCGAACCCTCATACGGGAATAAAAACCATTACAAAAACCATATCACCTAAAAATCTTTCAGCTTCAAACAAAAAGCCCCTAAGACAATAACCCTATTTCTAAAATACACCTGAAGATGAAAGATAACATAACAAAATAAAAACCAAAAATTACAACCACAAACTAAAAAACGCCTCGGAATGCATCTGCCAAAATAGTCATGACCCAATTGGAGGAACAAGTTCTAGTGAAACATCACAATCTTCAGGGACCCAAGAATTAGGTTTGAAGGAAGGCTCAACTTCATGCACCAATATATTGAATAAATTTGCACCGACCTTCAACTCCAGCATCTCATCAATCTTGAGCCTTTTATGACATTAACATAGGAACAAACGTAGGAATTTGTATGGGGTGCGAACATAAAACATTATACTAAAACTTTAGGGATACAAAATTTTATAATCTTAAGAGATACGAAATTAAATAATTCACATAAAAATAAAGAAAATATTAAAGTATAAGGAGTTTAAAATTTCAGGGGATGCAACCACACACTCATACTCCTCGTCCATCCCTAATTAATATTTATGGAGGATATTAACAAAGATGTAAAGTATGATTTTATAATATATATAAAATTAACTCATTCAAGACTTCATTATGATGCTTTATAACCTATCGAACTCAAAGCACAATTTGACTCGATTATACCAAGTCTCAATACAACTACCATTCAAGAAAATGACTAAAGGGCTTGTTGACACTTGGGTTTAGAGTGGTAGGTTTTCAAGGATCAACAAGTCAAACTTCAGATATAGGTTTCTGAATACTGATGCTCAATTGTTGATCCTGCTTTTCACAACGGCAATTTTTGCATCTTCAATCAGCTATCAACTAAGCAATCTAATCATCTTGCCAAGGTACGTCTCACATTTCCGCATGTTTTCATCTCTTCCTGAAACCAAATCCTTATTGTTTCTTTGGGTCAGAAATCAATTCTTTATGTTGGAAGTTAATTCATACACTTCGACGTAAACACGACCGTCGGTTCGAAAACGGCACCCGGTTTCGGGTTTTAACGGTTACAACAGCATTCCGTAAAGTCAATAAAATTTAACCATCACCGGTATTACCTTACATGAACGTATGGTACCGGAATAGCCGATATATTCCACAATTTCTACTCCAGAAATAAATCAAAAGAAACAATCTAGGAGCTCTCCATTTGAACACATTGAGAAGTTTAGAATCCACGAGATCAGCTTGCGAGTACAAAAAAAAACACCATACTATCAGTTTTTGCCTTCACTATCGCTAATTTTTCTGTTCTTTTGCACAGGGTACACAACAAGAGCCATGTTGTAAAATCATTACGAAAGCATCCGGAATCGTTCAGCGTATGGGATTATACTGCGATACCTCGTTTTGGTGGCAACTTCCTCAAGATGAAAAGGACTAGAGATGAAGGTAATATCTCTACCAACTGCTCAACAAAAGAACCATGTCATTGAAATATATTTCGAAAGTATATCTGTAATCGAAATCAAGAAAACCTTATAATTTCGAACATGGTATAAAAATAATTAAAACATGACACAAAATTTCAATAACTCCTCCAGAGTATATTTTCAAACCTAGAATTAGCCTCAGGCTTATGCACCCAAACGACTATATAAAGCATAAGCAATAAAGCATTAGAAAAAGATCTGAAAAAAATTGGGCGAAAGAATTAAGGATATAATAGTTCTTAGTAGTGAATTAAATACTGGAAGGGATAACCGAGTTCTGCAATCTTATTGTTTTATTTGGTTATCTTGTAAAGCCGAAGCTGTTCATTGCTCGGTAGATACCAACTTAGCTTATGATTATATGAATTATCTATACTATAGTAGATAAATAAAGCATTACTGACACATGGTGAAGATATATAGTATAACAATACCACTTAAAGAGCCAAGTCACAGCAAATTGTGGTCAGGAGTAAATGTAGTACAAATCATATTTGTTGATTATATTCAACAAATAATTATATATTCAACAATACAATCAGAATATAGTTGTAATGAAAAATCCATTTTATTTAATTAACAAAAAACAAACGGAAAAAATTCTCACAAAATCTGAATGCAGTTATCTTCTTCAATTTCATTAGTAAATTTCGAAAACCCTAAGTTCAGACTTAAGTCTCAATTAACAGTGAAACCACATAGGTAAAATTACTAAACGGCTAAACCTAGAGTCCAAAATCTAGTTTGCAGTTGGGTGATGATAGTCTAACCGAACCAAATAGAATATATGTTAAAACAACCCTCCCGAGCTTGCAAAAGTCATAAAAGTTCAATTAAGCTGATCACAAACATTCTTCTACATAACAATCTGATGTCAACAAAAGACTTGGTAGTTTCTTGACATATGCATTCCTATTCATCTGAAAGATGTATATGCAACAAAATAAATGAGGCAAATGTGGCAATTTTTTTCAGTTTTTTATACGGCAATAAGATGAGTTAAGCAACCTTTACACTGTCTCAGTATGAATCTCTTCATATAAGCAACAATAAGCAACATGATAGAACTATTTAACAAACTTAGGTAATATATGAGGTTTAGAATGGGATGGTCCAAAACATCAGGTCAGCGGCTTTGTCAAATGCATTAAAGCACATCTGCACAAAAAAACAACATAGAGGTCAAATATGTTAAACTTTGGTCAAATAACCAATGATTGGTGAATTGGATATTGATCTAAACCTAAACCAGCTAGCAGATAAAGGTTCACCGAAAGTACTTCCATTTTGTAACAGAAGTGCTATACCATTATAGGTATAAAAAAGTTTCACAAAGCCCAAGGAAACTTGCTTAAAGCATGTCAATTTGAAATACGTAGATAGGGAAGCAAGAAAGGAAAGAAGAGATCCACCATAATGCATCTGACTAGGAAAACGAGAAGCATATGGTCGTCACATAACCAACCTGCCCAATCCAAAAAGAAATAACAGTAAAAAGTTGTAAATAAAAAGAAACACGGGAATAAGAAATCACAACTACAGAGTAGACATGTACTTCTTGTAGCTTCTTACGCCGCCCTTTGGACTCTACAGGGAACCGCTGTAACATTAAGAAAAGCCTGCAATGAAATATGTTACACAGCTTCTCCATGCAATTTGCTACAGATCATATTAGTAGATATTTTCAATATATAGAAAAAAAATTGTGGATATAAATGTTTAAAGTGACAATATCTTATGTTTTTATTTCCTAATAAAATGAGAAATATGTTACATTAATTGTGAAATGCATAAAGGTAATGCAACCAATTCTGTTTTTCCTATCTAAAATACTTTTTAGAAAATAAAAAAATAATGATTCAAAAATCAACAATAGAAAATATTTCATAATTTGGAAATGAGAATGAAGACAATCGGTAATAAAATAATGAAGAGAGTAATGTTTTTCCTGTCTTCACAAGATTCCAAACCCCTTAAGTCACTTTAATACATGCTATATAGATCATACATATTGATTTAGCTTGGGACCAAGTAAGATGTCCCATAATTATACTAGGCCTTAGTTAAGAAGTAAGAGAGACCTTTTAACAAAGAGGCTGAAGAGTTACCATAACAGTCACAATTTGAATAACATAGAAAAGACAATGAATAGCATCGCCTTGACATAAACCAAATAATCACACGGAACTTGATCTTATGCCATTAAAACAACTAGTAACAATACAATAAATGCAATATAATTACCTTCCACCATATAGTAAAAACCCAAGGGCTGCAAACAATGATACACCTGCTCATACACATAAGATTAAAATAATTTATTTGTATTTGAAACAAATTGCCATGAGATAAATAACCATAAAGGATCTAAAATTACTTAGGCTCCATTTGCTAAATGATTTTATTTTATTTTTCCCCTTTGCTCTTCTTTTTCTTTTTCTTTGCAAAAAATAAAATTAGAATAGAATACAAAAGATTATCAAAAGCAAAAAAAAAAAAAAAATTACAGCCAAGCAATTATATCCAGAAAAAGTCTAGAAAGCACCAGAGGTTCAAGAACAGTAACCCATTAAGGATACAATAATATTACCTGCAAAGAAAACCTTAGAAAGAACGACCAGAACTGGTATATATTTCCACCATAATATCAGCCACATTGCAATCTGAAATCAATTCCCCCCAGCCCACATAACAAAAAGGAGCTTTAGTAATATCTTCTCAAAAGTTATAGTTTCAAAGTAAATCTAGTATGCAAAGATACTTACAAGAGTTATAGAATGACAGCCTAGTTAGGATGAAAGAAATCTGTCTGTCGGTTCATATTTACTATAAAAATCTAGAAAAGTTCCATTAACACCCTTGTCACTATTCTAGCCAAAGTTAGTGTCTTCTAACATACTACCTTGATCTTATGGTGACTCTTATCCAACCAACTCATATTCATAGAACAAGTATCAGGCTAGCTTATAAGCATTGCTCCAGCAGAAGAAATCATTAACAGAATGAAGAAAAATGAAGCTAATGCAAACACACTGTGCAGAAGTGCAAAGCATCATAGATAATAGCAAAGTCTTTTAGCATAAGTCCCAAACTACCACTCCCTTATTATCAACTTTGTCTTCTCTAAATTTATCTTCTCCCTTGAAGTTGACATGTGTCTTTTGCTTTGAACTAATCATCCCAAAGCCCAATATTCATCTCATAAATGTAAAAGAGTACATTGTTTTAAACTATTGACACCGCAAAATGGACATTTGATTATTTCCTAATGTAACTCTCATACAATTAAAAGAATTAAAACGGAAAATAAGTCTAACAAAATTTTGCCATGTGGGCAGAAACTTCAGATCCTCCCTCCAAGAAAAACAAAGATCATTTATGACCAATATGCTTATTATTATCATCCCATTTACAGTATAGCTATTCACAGCATTAATTGTAAAGAACTGGGCCTTAGTCCATCAGTTGATACAGCACGTGCCTGTTTTAGGATACGTAGAGTTAAATAAATTAATACAAAAGACCCGGCAAGGAGACACTGGCAAAAGGCTCAAGCACCTAACCTGGTAGTAGATCTCAGCCCAAATAACCAACAGTGCATAAGTCGTGAAGAAAGCTAGACTTGGCATGTCAGCAAGATATGTTGAGCATCTAAGAAAAAAAGAAACATCCGACAAAAGCCATGAACAATTCAAGCTAGACACAAATCAGAAATAACACAAGGCATGTAATGGTTTATTGCAAACCTCTGGATGTAAGTTCTGCACATCCCCTCTGAAAACAAATACTAGCCCTCGAATGGCATATATTTGAAAGCATTATAAATACAAAACCAAAATAAAGCCCCAAAGAAAGTGTTCAAAATAGAATTTTCAGATACAAACCCCCATTCACCAGAAAATTCAGAAAATGGAAGACTCTGCGTGGTCCAGCCATACTCGGGAACTCTCAATTGTATCCGAATCAATTGAACCTAAAAATATCAACAATTAAACGAGTTTATGAAAAAAGCTGAACATTAATAAGCGTCTTCCTGGCAATAACATCATATTAGGTAAGTACCAAAAACAGATTCTTAATTGCACTGAGTTCTCGTTTTATAGTATTAGACCCTTCTTTTTCATATTAACATGAAGATAAATCAAATAAGCAAACATTTTTAATCTTTCAATTTGAAAGGGCAAATCATCAATTTTCCTAGACGCAAGCAATCAAACCGAGGGCTAAACCCTAACTACTAACAAATATTTCTTTCTTAAAAGCTAAATATGAAGTTGATGAAAAAGAGAGTATCACATACGAAGGCAACGGCGGCGACGAGACCGTAAAGACGGCTAGAATGTGAAAAATCCGATCCTGCCAGAGCGGCGAGTCGTTAATGTCGTGCCACCAATTCGATGCTTCTTTCAGCTTCAAAGCGACCACGACCTCCTCCAAACCGTTACTCTCATCTCTCCCTCGTCTTCTGCTTTCTCCTCTTCTTTCTAATAATATGTTAAAATCCAAATTAAGAGTTGATTGATTTGATTTTTTTCCTTTTTCTTTTTTATCAAAACAATATTTGAGCATCAAAATCAAAATCAAAATCCTAAGAAGAGTTGAATCAACTTCAATATAATTTCTCGGTTTTTTTTTCACGTTTACGATTATTGGAGCAAAGCGAAGATGGACGACGAAAGAGGAGAGGAAAGAAAAAAGGAGATTTTATTTTTAATTAATTATCATTTTCTTTTCTCCTTTGAAACTACCGGCAATAGCCGGTAATCAGTTTGAGAAATGACAGGATATGTATGGAGGACGATCTATCATGTAACTGCCAATGAATATTGCGCTGCCAAATGTTGGGCTTGGACTGGCTAATGTATAGATTACGTATTTTACTGGACACGTAATAATACAAACAATTATTTTTACTTTAAGTTTTATACTTAAAAATTAAAATATGAATTAATTTAATCATTATAATATTTGTAGGATTTAGATTTAAATATATTTAAGTGTAAGTGAATCAAATTATCTCATAATTAAAGAAGTAATTTTATTTTTAAAGATCTCGAATTACAACACCAGTTATTATAAATATATTTAGTTGT